CCTATTCCCTTAATTCTGATTTTAATGAAAGTGCCGTCATTCAGAGAGGCCTTCCTGATTTGGTCAAATGTCTGAGTATTCTCTCTCTCACACACAACTGCAACTTTAGTTCTGTTTTTATCATATTGATTCATGCTGTTCTTCCCACTGGATTGTAAATTTTATGAGGGTAGGAATTGCTTCCTTCCCCCCCTTTTTTTTGTATCCCTAGCACAACACGTGACATAAATATAGTGCTCAGTAAAATTGTTGAATGAGATATAAAATCTAAATTGAACAAAAATTAAAAATTAAAGCCATTAAAATTTGCTTATTGAATTTCAAGAGTGAGGAGGAAGGAATTAGGCATGTGTATAAAGTTTCTACCTTGAGCAACTCAGAGAACAGTTATATATCCATTAAGAGAAAAAAAGAGGAGTAAGAAGTGAGTGTATGAGGAAAATAAAGAAGTAGATTTGGGACATGTTGAACTTGATTAATCACTATGGCATTCAGACAGAAATATCCAGAAGTTGAAGATGTAACAGCCACTTGTGCAATTTATTACCTTTCTAGAGACATTCAAGCCTATTTCTATATTTGGTTTTAATTTCCTTAAATTTCAGACATCCTTGCATATTGTTTTTCGCCGGCAAATTACTGATATCCCGTGAGCTCTGAGTATACATCATTAAGTGAGAAATATTTTAAAACAATGCGAAGTTATGGCAAAAGAAAAAAACAAACAAACAAAAAAACACACCAACAACATACCAGTGGCAATGATGACTCAACTATAAAATTAATAATTTCAAGTTAAAATATTTGATCAATTGTAAAACAAAAGGCATTAGATGAAAATATTTGTTTTTCAGACTTTTTTTACTCTTGGTGTCTATGAGGCTATGTAAAGAGCTACCATTTTACATAACCTGCATTGCCTTAAGCATAGAATATAATTATATTGTGAGTGGCACATGACAATGACTAATTAATGCATAAAGCTGTCTACACATACACACACAGAAAATCTTTAATTTAAATATTTTTCTTTGCTCTTACCAGCTGTAGTTATTTGTTTTATTTTATCAACTCCTTTCTAGCCCTCAAATAAAAAAAGTTCCCCTTTTCCACTTCCCCAGGGCCATTATAGTACTACCATCTCCCTGAATTTCTCAGAATTGAAAGCTTATGTTTTTGTTTGTTTTTGCTTTTTAAAAAAGTTTTGTTTCTTTATAGTTTTTCATTCTCCTTCAAACACATATAGTCATTAGTCACAAACTTTTAATTTTTTTTTTACACTGTATCTTGGATACTTCATTTGTACAATTGCATTTTAGGCTAAATTATTCTCATATGTTTATTACCAATCAACAGCTGAAACTTGGATTGCTGTAGTCTCCCTTTATGGCAACTCATTTTATGCATAGACACATGTATGATCAACATGTATCAGGCTGGTTCCTCTCAAGATGAACAATTCCTGATTGTTTTTTCCTGTTTTATAGTAGGTGAAGTATGTACCTCTCAATTTAGTTCTCTAGAAATTCTTTTAAAACTCTCTCAACTCTTACTGGTTTCATAAGTAGCCACCCAAGCAAACTGTTTATCCTAGATCAAATAAAACTTTATAATCCAGTTTTCCACACCTAAATTGTTGTATTTCCATTCCAGTAGAAATTTTTATCCCAAAGCAGTTCTGTCTTCAATTTCTTCATAAAGCTATGTCTAGCATTTGGTCAATGTTTAGCTCTTTAAGAGATTTCTTCTAATTAAAATTTTCTAGCCAAATGAGCGAGAAGAATTATGAATTAGAAAGTAATACAACAAATATTAGCTATCCCATAAGCTTAAAAGTCTCTTTCCCTGATTAAATGGTATTTGAATATTACACTTAAGAAAGCAGATTTCGCCAGGACTGGTTTGGCTCAGTGGATAGAGCGTCGGCCTGCTGACTGAAGGGTCCCAGGTTCGATTCCGGTCAAGGTCATGTACCTTGGTTGCGGGCACATCCCCAGTGGGGGGTGTGCAAGAGGCAGCTGTTTCTCTCTCATCGACGTTTCTAACTCTCTGTCCCTCTCAATTCCTCTCTGTGTAAAATCAATAAAATATATTTAAAAAAAAAAAAAAGATTTCAAACTCAAAATGTTTTTGAATAGAAAATATTTAAATGCTATTTTGAAATAGAGAGTCCTAAAAGTCTGAACTGCAGATAAATGGATAATAGATAACAAATTTCCTAAGAAGAAGTTGAAATATGAAGAGATATATAACACTAATGGGGTTGATGGGACCTGGGCAACATCTAATGAGGAAATCTTACTTTTCTTTTTTTTTTTTTTAATGTATTTTTATTGATCTCACAGGGAAAGGAAGAGGGAGAGAGAGATAGATACATCAACGATGAGATGGAATCATTGATTGGCTCCCTCCTGCACACCCCCTACTGGGATGAAGCCCGCATGGGCCCCTGACCCGAATCGAAACTGGGTCCCTTCAGTCCACAGGCTGACATTCTATCCACCAAGCCAAACCGACTAGAGTGGAAATCTTATTTTTCAACAGAACTTGAAAAGCCCAGTGACTTCCTCTGGAACAATAATAAATAATGAATAGCACTAGCTTCAGTGAGTACTAGTATGGTTCAAACACTACTATTGAACTGTCACTTTTATATCCCATTTTCTTTTGTGTGTTTTTTTTTAACATAAATTTTTATTTTTTTTATCTTTATTATTTAAAGTATTAGAATGTCTCTGACTTTCAATTTTCATTGTCCCCCACCACCAGGTTCTCACCTCAGGCCTTCATCACCCTGTTGTCTGTGTTTATGGGCAATGCATTCATGCATATAAAGCCTTTGGTTGATCTCTTCCTACCCCCTCTCCCCTTCTTTCTGAGATTGCTCAGTCTGTTCCATGTTTCCATGCCTCTGGTTTTATTTGATTCATCAGTTTATTGTGATAGTGTAGATACATTTTCTTTTCTAAAGGGTATTTCTCGAAGTAAACTTTTCTTTCCATAGCATCTTTCCTTCTAAAATGTAGATTTCTGCTACTACATGATGGGATAGATCTTTGTATTTCAAAATGTAGGTTGTAGCCAAGTTTTAGTTAGACTGCAGAGATTAAAATTCAGTTAAAATTAAAATTTTCATACCAATTTTTGGTAGTATTGAAGCATCACACATTGTATAAAACTCTCTTACAGAAGTTTGGGGGAAACAGGGGAAGGGTTCATTGAAATAGGAAGTAATGTATTATAGTATTTCTTTGGTCTCTTTTTTATCAGCTTCACTTGGTCTTCATGCTCTCATACTGTCCTTCATTATGTTCCCAGTTTGTCGGATGCAATGTTGTTTCAGGAACAATAATGCTAACACTACTACTACTAGTAGTAGTATTAATAGTAGTACTACTAGCCAAGAGTGATTTTGCCATTATTACAATATATACTAAATGTTTCATGTGTATTATCTCATTTACGCTTTATAATATGCATGTACACATAAAGACAAAAGAAAGATGGGAATTTGGAAATTTGACCTTTGTCAGCATCCTCTTCTTTTCTCTCTGTGGAGGAAAGAGCAGAGTGTTAGGTGCTCTGACTGACCCTTGCCTCCCTCGCAAAAGCAATCAGGGTGCCTTATGAGTAGTAATTTCTTAAGAAGTATTTGTTAGAAAAATAGAAATGCATCTAAAAGAGGTTTAATGTGGCTCTATAGTGTGACCTTTGATATGGTGTGACCTTCAGACTTTAGCTGCTTTGGATGTTTCGTTACTTCTAAGTTCAAAGCCTCCTTACAACTGTTCTGCTTGTTACGATGTTTTTACATATTTTCATGGCAGAGGATCTGCCATAGTAACTGCACTGAGTCACACTTTCCTTATGGCACAGACATGACTGCCCTTGTTTTACAAATGTATGAAAGAATCACAGAGTAGGCCACATATGCTATTCTTATTGAATTGATCAGATTAACATAAAAATGTGTTAGAAATCTTCTTATAAAGGAATTTCAGTTTTTAACATTATATTCCACCTTTAAATGCCAACGGAAATTTCTTAACAGATTTTCTTGTGTGATAAGTCCCTTTAGTGGAATTCTTTTTAGGCCAATGCACTTGCACAGCCTCAGAATACCATATAAAGTTATTGTATCTGTTATTCTATGCTTTAAATATTATAAATTTTTCAGTTAATCAACTGAAGCAAAAATTCATGTCAAGCTCTTAAAGTCTATACATTGAGAAGCATGTTTTAAAGTATTCAATTCTGAGTAAAATACTTGATAGATAATAAAAATATAAACTAATAGTTTCTTTATTTAAAATAGGTACACTTGGGTTTATATATTTCAAATATATTTACTGTTTTGATTTTCTCTACTTATTTTGCTTTTACCTGATGACTTTTGTCTTTATTTAATAGAATAGTTTTTTATTCCCTTGAATATTCTCTGCAATATTCTATTGTACAATATATGATATGCATTGATGCTTCCCAACTACTGTACTGATTAAGCAGTTTTAGGGAAATGCTTCCATTTTATTTTTAAAAGATGTTCTAGCTCTTCTCTTTTGGGTGCAAATATTTTAACAAAAGCCTGACTTTGGATCCAGAGTGAAACAGATGTGGTTTCCATCTCAGATCCTGAGCAAGTTGTTTACACTCTACAAGACTTAGCTTTCAGCACATAATTTTTAGGATTTTTTTGTTTTTGAGGTTGGATTTGTGTCTTTTCAATAAATGTTAGCAAAGATCACATACTTACTTTATTTCAACAGCATATAGTTTTTCTAAAACATGAATTTTAAAGGACAAATTATATTTCAAGTACAAGATATAATAAAAAACCATGGACAACTTTCATAAAGTAATTTTAGGAACAATATACAAGCTCTGTAGAAAGTATAATAGATTTGGTGTTACTGGGGAATGAGTTTGTAGCTTTATGTTCTAAGTCATCTTAGTTCCCTTACTATTTCAAGTAACTAAAATGATACATTTTTGCTTTTCAGTCATTCAAGACTGCTTGCAACTGATTGCAGACAGTGACATGCCTACTATACGAAAAGGTAACAAAATAGTCCCAGTAATTTTTCCACTTAGAATCCAGTATAGTCCAATTAGTTGTAAGTTTCAAGTCCAAAGACTGTATTCAAATTTCAGGTCAAAGCAACTCTCTATTTCAAACTTCTTATAGTCAGATGTAAAATAAAAATAAAAATATTCAAAATAATTAGGGAATAGGTATGTTAATATTTTAAAACAGAATTATCTTAGAGACACTAATACTTAGAAATATTATAGCATATGATAAAACAAAATCAATATTACAGCAAATTCAATTTTTTATTATTTAGAAACAATTTTTTATTATTTAGAGGTCCAGTGCACGAAAATTTGTGCACTCCGGGGGGTCCCTCAGCCTGGCCTTCACCCTCTTGCAGTCCGGGACCCCTTGGGTGATATCCACCTGCCACCTTAGGGCCACTCCCCAGGGGATCAGGCCTAAATTGACAGTCTGACATCCCTCTGTAAGCCCAGGAGCCCTTGGGGGATGTCCGACTGACATCTTAGGTGTGGTTCTCCTGTCTCCCCTCCCCCTCCCCCCGGGAGCAGGCCTAAACTGCAGTTGGACATTCTTAGCGCTGCCTAGGAGGTAGGACAGGCTCCTGCCTCTGCTGCTGCACTCACAGTCATCAGCCCGGCTTGTGGCCGAGCAGAGAACCCTCTGTGGGAGCACACTGACCACCAGAGAACAGCTCCTTCATTGAGCATCTATCTGCTGGTGGTCAGTGCACATCATAGCAACTGGTCATTCCCACTCGTTCTATTGTTAGGGTCAATTTGCATATTACCCTTTTATTATATAGGATCATTTTGGCTTTTATAATGCCACAAGATTATCACACACAAATATTAATTATCCTTTTATATTAGGTTGTAGAAATCATAGTAGGATGAAGATAAAACCAGACCTATCATAAACATCTTACACTAATTAATTTATTGATAAATATATAATATGTATAAATAAGTAACCACAACATTCTGATGATGAACCTTCAATGTGAAATTATTGCTTTATATTTTACATCCAATGGTTAAGAATACACAATGTTATAATTACTGTGTGGGCACTGGGACTTAAGAGTGACTAAAATACATGTGGTTCCTTACTTTCATAGAATTTACCTTCTGATGAAGGAAAAACAAAAAAGAAATGAACAAGATGTAAATGCTATTCATAAAATTAAATGCTATTGAGAAGCATAAAGCCATCCAGGGGCAAGGCAATGTTTGGGTTGTGACTCATAAAGGGAATTCAAAAGTGGCAGGAAATTAAGCTGGAGCCAGGAATGGGGAAACAAGTCCAGATAATGAATTTGGATTGGCCTTTGTAATGATTCCCAGGAGTGCTATCTTGCATGCGTATTTTTCTGCGTGACGTTAGTTATTTTAAACATAACACAAATATTAAACTATTTTGAAACTATATTAATGGCTCTGCATTTTCCAAAGACCTATGTTTCCAACTTTTAATAGGCAGCAAACTGTTTCCTAAGAATTAAAATTAAGCCAGCCAAAGACCCTGAAGTCCAAAGATAAAATTTTTGAAAATATGACTTGGAAAAGATTTGTTTTGCACATTTGGCCAAAAAAAAATGCTATAATCTACACAGAAAAAATACAGCTGCTACTCCATTGTGAGTATGAACTGCTCAGTGTTATGATTTTTTTGATGTGGTGGCTGCTTTCCACCGATCTGCGGTGCACATCTGGTGCTTTGCGCTTTGGACCATGGGTTGGCTTTGTGATGCCAGCAAGCCTTGGACAGTATGTAAATGTAAGTATGCATGTACGTTTCAGTAACATTGCTCTACTGTGCCCCATAAATTTTGATATGTTGTTTCAATTTTTATTTGTCACAAGATATATCTTCATTTACCTTTTGGCATAATTGATGATGCTTCAATGGACTGAGCCACCTGGCCAGGGATCTATTTTCCTTTTGACTTGTTTTTTGACCCACTGGTTGTTCAGGAATGTGTTGTTTAACATCCATGCATTTGTGAATGTTCCAGTTTTCCTCCTGTTATTGATTTCTATTTTCATGCTGTTGTGGTTGGAAAAGATACCTAATATGATTTCAGTATTTTCAAACTTTTGGGACTTATTTGCACCCTAATATTTCATCTATCCTGGAGAATTTTCCTGTTACTTAAGAAAACTGTGTGTTTTGGTACTGCAGAATAGAATATTTTGTATATCTGTTAAGTTTACTTAGTCTGTAGTGTTGTCCAGGTATTCTGTTTCTATACTAATTTTCTTTTGGATGATGTATCTATTTTTAAAATGGGGTATTGAATTTTTCTCTATTATTATTGTTTACTTCCTCTTCAAGAGCTCTTAATGTTTTCTTGACACATATAGATCTCCAATGTAGTGTATGTATGTATATGTGTATATATATATATATATATATATATATATACACACACACACACACACACATACACACACATATACACACATACATTTGTTATATCCTCTTGATGATTATCATATAATGACTTCCTTTGTCTCTTTTGACAGTTTTTGACTATCCATTTGGTCTGATATAAGAATAGCCACTTCTCTCTTTTGTTTACTATTTACATAGAATATTGTTTTCTAACCTTTCCATTTAATACTCTCTGTGTCCTTAAAGTTAAAGTGATTCTCTTATAGGCAGCACATGGTTGGACTTTTTTTTAACCATTCAGCCATTCTCAATGTTTACTTCCCGCTCCCCCACACTTTATGTTATTGATGTGATAGTTTACATTTTTTATATTGTGTAACTTTTAAATTACTGTAGTCATAGTTCTTTTTAATACTTTTGTCTTTTAACTTTTACACCAGAGTGAAAGTGATTTATAACTCATTACCTTGTAGATTTGCTTAGTTATCTTTACATTCAATGAAGCAGTTACCTCTTCCAGTCTTTCTGGACTTATTTTGACTGGGAAACATGTTTTTTTGGTTAGCAGGGCTTGGTATTAGCCACTCTAAGATCCCCTTTGCTTCCTTTCTTCTCTACTGAAGGAACAGCATCAGTTCTCTGCTTTTCTTCAACCATGCACACACACACAAAAAAATGTTGGCTATAAGGGGGTGTTCTCCCCTTTTCTTTATTCCTAAAAGTATCAGGGACCAAGCTCTTTTGCTTTATCCATGTTTGGTATGAGGCAAGATAGAAATCAGCTCCACAGAAGGCAGGCTCCCCACCCCTCCACAGGAGGGAATCATAGGCTGAGGCAGTCTTCTTGGTGCTGAGTGAAACCTGTTAAGGGGAGGGACTAATGTGAGAACACTTTGTGCTCCTTTAGGATGCTTCTACTTCTTAGCTGGATTCTGAATTTTTTTTCAAGGTATTTTGGTTCCAATAATATTGTTAAATTATTGTTTCTGAGGAGAGGTAATTTATAAGGCTTTCTACTTTGCCATGTCTTGCTGACATAATCCCTCATTCAGAATTTAAATATGTAATCCTGCCTTTTGCCTACATAGTTTCAAGTGGGAAGGAAGTCAGCTGTTATTACTAGGCATCCCTTGTAATTGAGGAGTTGCTTTTCTCTTGCTGCTTTCATGATTCTATCCTATTTGTCTTTGAACTGATTCATTTTGATATGTCTTGGTATGGGTTTTTTTTTGAGTTTATCCTTCTTGGAAGTCATTGAATTTTTTTGATGTATAGATTTATTCTTCTTCAGAGTTGGGAAGAGATTGGCAATTATTTCTTCAAATATTCTTTGTGTGCTTTTCTCATTCTGGAACTCTCTTAATTCTTTACTGAGGGCATACTATGTGCTAGGCTTTATTCTAAACATTTGGGTTAAACCATAGCACAACCATAGCCTTGGCCTTATGGAGTAGAATCTATGTCTGTATATGAGCATGAATGTAGATGTATATGCATGTGTATGCAGTGGGGAGAAATATAAACAGTACCTAAAAACAAATGAACATGTACCCTCTTTAATAGGAATATTTCCAGTAAGTGGTAATGGAAAAAATGAAATGCAGTAAGCATTGCTCAGAGTCACTTAAAATGCAGTAAGGAGGACACTGAGTAGGTAGGGCCTAAGCACATCCCGTGTCTCAGTTCTTAGAACTGTTGTTAAGTCGTTGACCTGTTGCTAAACTCAACTCAAAGTTGAACAACAAACATTCTGGATCCATGATTGCTACATGGACATCTACGGACTTCACTTCCTCTTCATCATGGTGACCAGATTGAAGCTTCCATCTTATATAAAAACTACTGTTTGAAATTTTAATCCTGCTATTTGGCTTCTGTAAATGCTTGCTTGCTTAAATAATAATGGAAATAAGACTATTCCCATTTCAGAGAGGCCATTAAACCTTCCTCAGACAAAATTATCAGTTCTGGCACCATGCCAAGCCTTTGGTTGAGGTCTCAAGGCCCCAGCACATAGGGGCCCTTTAAGAACTTGCAAAAGGAACTGGAAACACCCCATATTTGGAAGACAAAGAAGGTAAACACATATAAATAGGGAAAATTCCTCCATATTAGGGCCCAGAATTTAAGAGACATTTTCCTCTGGACCAGCGTGTAATAAATGTAACTTCATCTCTCTAAAAATTGCTTGGTTCTTCTCCGGTTTTTCTGTAACAAGACCATCTGCATTCTTCACCTTGAAAGGACCAATCCATTTACACAGTGGATCTAACATTATTTCAGTGAAAAGAGGAGTTTGCTTTCTCCTGATAAATGCTTACAAACTCATTGTGTCTGCTCTGGGAACAAAAGGAAAACAGAACTATCTCTCTTAGTGTGTTATTCGGAGACACTTTGTACAACCTTTGTCTCAACCTTTCCCATCCAGCCCTTATTAGGGAAATTGCTGGAATTCAGAAGAATGAGAGAAAAACTAGACATTACAAATCAAGGGTTTGGTCTTGGTTAATATGTAAATAACAGCGGAAAAACCAGTGGAGTACTGGGATTTGTCGTAGTCGTCGTTGTCGTTGTCGTCGTCGTCTTCTTCTTCTTCTTCTTCTTCTTCTTCTTCTTCTTCTTCTTCTTCAAGATAAAATTCTCCTCTATGTCTCAAACTTAGTTTACTAATTAGGCAGAGGTGAAAAACTGCTTTTCTCCATTTCCTGTTTATAAATTGTTCTCTTCATTGTAGGAGATTACACATTTGTTCCCTGGCTTCTCAGCTTCAAAAGAGGAAGAGCCCTAGAAGAAAGAGAAAATAAAATATTAGTTAAAGAAACCGGTTACTTTTTTATATATGGCCAGGTAGGTTCCACCCTTATTCTGCTGTTGCTGTACAATGCCTCCCATTTTGTGCTCAACTCTGACAAAGCTCTTTGGTTTCTTTCTCAGGTTTTATACACCGATAGCACGTTTGCCATGGGACACCTAATACAGAGGAAAAAAGTCCATGTCTTTGGGGATGAATTGAGCCTGGTGACTTTGTTCAGATGTATTCAAAACATGCCTGAAACACTACCCAATAATTCCTGTTATTCAGCTGGTAAATAATAGTTCTCTGTAAATAGGCAGAAAGACATTCCTCCATATACTGTGTGGTTTTGATTATCTTGAGTGATAAGCTGGTCTGTTTTAATTGAGGCAGATAAAATCATTACTAATAGTTTTATGATTTTTAAAATTTTTTTATTGATTTTTTCACAGAGAAGAAGGGAGAGGGAGAGAGAGTTAGAAACATCGATGAGAGAGAAACATCAATCAGCTGCCTCCTGCACACTCCCTACTTGGGATGTGCCCGCAACCAAGGTATATGCCCTTGATGGAATCAAACCTGGGACCCTTGAGTCCGCAGGCCAACGCTCTATCCACTGAACCAAACCGGTTAGGGCAGTTTTATCATTTTTATACACATAATAATCTCATATACATATAGTAATTTCATAGAAACCAACATTGAGAACCATTCTAAGCTGTATTTTCTTCACCCTGTAATAACAACAGTGATAATAATAAAAGTGTAATATGTTAATTAGACCAGACGACCTTCCAGACGAAGCAGGGGGTGGGGTGGGGGGAGCTGTGAGGGAAATCTGGGTTCTAGGTGCCAGAGAGAAGCTGGAGAAGGGAGGCCTACTCTTGCTGGAATTTCATGCACCAGGCCTCTAGTAGAAGAATAAGAGAATGATTACCATGTGCCAGGCACCCTGGTCTGAACTTTATGGTTGTTCACTTAACCTTCCTGTTTTAGGGAGATGGAATCTAAGACTCACATTCCAGAACTTGGTTTAAAGCAGCCAGGTTGATTCCAGAATGTGAGCTGCCAGGAACTTTTTTTTTTTAATTTCTTTATTGATTATGGTATCACATAATTGTCCTCATCCCCCCATTCCCATCCCAAATCCCTCCCTACATATGTCTCCACACCCTGTTGTCCATGACCACTGGTTAGGCTTATATGCATGCACACAAGTCCTTTAGATGATCTCTCTCCTTTTCCCCCAACCTCCCCTACCTTCCCTCTGAGGTTTGACAGTCTGTCTCCAGGTCTGTTTCTGTTCATCAATTTATGTTGTTCATTATTTCCCTTAGATGCATTAGATCACGTGATACAAGGAATACCCTTATAAGAACCGAAACTGAGACAAGCCGTAATGGTTATGCTGAGAGGCAAATGAATCAGTCTGTAGTGAGTTTTTTTTCTAGGCCAACAGTTCCAGAAACTCTTCTTTACTTGCTATGGAAGACATCCCCCCTTGGCTGATGAGAGCATCAGGTCAGGTTGCCCAGTGGCTTCTCTCAGTTTCACAAAGGTGACATCTAGTGTAATAGATCCCAGACAGGTGACTTGGGGAAGTGAAAGTGGGGCAGTGAACCTGCATTTCAACTCAGGGGCAGTGAAGATGCGGAGAGAAAAGAGAAAGGGTAGGCTTTGTTCATTTCGGGTCTGTTTGGGCTGTATTGACAGCATGGCCTTTATTTTGTTTGGGGAGTAATTCCAAATGAATCAAGGCTGGTATTAGGAGAGAAAAAAAGAATATTTGCCTTAATTCATTCATTCCTCTCTGGTGAGTATGACAAACCCATTTGGAACCCTGAGGAATATCTTCAGTTGCCGTTGCCACGCATAGCAGAGTTGGATACTGGCTACTCAACTGGAAGTGACTTATTTCAAAGGCTTTTACTAACAAATGCACAATGAATCAGAGAGAAAGGGAAACAGCATGTGATAATATGGATGATGTCACTCCGGGTCTGCAGCCATAAACAGCTTTAACAGGGCGATGAGGAAATTTGTTACATTGGAAACCCCTAATTTTCATTAAAAGAAAAAAGAAAAAAAAAAAGCTTCCCTGCTCCCAGCAATGACTAGTATTTTGGTGTTGCAAAATTCTATTTAAATGAGGCTATATCAACCTGCTATTTACTTATATCCATTAGTAGTTACAGCTTTACAGTGAACTTTCAGATTTTCTAATAAGCTGCTGCTCTCATATTTACTTTCTTGACAGATTTCCTAGGTGCCTTGCCTTTTAAGAATAAATAACTCAACCCTGAAGATATTTATCCATGCTAATAGCTTAGTATTAAATAAAACCATTCTGTAGGAAAATTCAGGTTTGTAATATTTATCTGTTCTAGGGAACTTGTGTTCAAAATCATTAAAAACTATACATAACTGTGTAAATGTCCAAGTTGCTTCCATAGTAACCCCCCAAAAAAGTTTAACTGGTCCTTTTGAGGGACCCGACATAATACCAAAGAACCTCTTTTGTACACAAAGCAGAAACTTATTCATTATTCCATTTACAAGTTAAATACGTTTATTGTAGAAAAGTTTAGATTGCTAAAAGCGCAAAGAATTGAAATAGCCAATAACTTAGTGTAGTAATTTTAAATAGATTCTACCTTAAAAGTAGTCAGTTTTTATGGATAAGTTGTATAGATGCATGTGGAAGCATATAAATGGTATGAGGTCTAGAATTTTCTCCAAATTATGGATGAAATAAGATTGAGAATGGGTTAACAATCATTGGACTAAATACTGAGTACATGGAGTTTATATTATTCTCTCTACTTTAGAAAACTTTTTTTTTAAATACTTGGCATTTATTAACTCATTAAATCCTCATAACTCTATGAGTGATATTATTACCTCTATGTTTTAAGGTTAGTAATAATAATACACACAGGGAAATTAAGAAACTTGACTAAGATCATACATTTTGCTATATCTGGCTTCTTCAAGAAATCAACTCCTCTAGTTGTTATAATCGTGGGGTTTTATAGCAAGCAAAGTACTACTTGTGTTTTTATTTTAGGAAAGAAGCATTATGGGGATGAAAGGATGTTTTCTTTCAATTTACTTTAGAAAACTTTTGACAATTTCCTAAGAAAAATAAAAAACAAAACATGTTTTGGTGGGGGAGCATCATTCCCATTTTATTTAAGAATTAATATTACTTAATGCTTTGGGATCTATAGCCTTTTTCAAAATATTAGATTATCTTTAATCTCTATGATAATGACTAATCTCTTCAACAAAAATTTTCAGTCTTTTTAATGACTATTTAGTCATTAAATGCTTTGCCAGTCCTATAAAATATACATATTACCCTTAATGGTACCCAAAACTATGTTTTTTTGTTTGTTGTCTGTCTTGGTCATTAAAAACAACACAAGATCTTTGGAGACAAAAAACAAAAAATTTGTCACACATACTATGTGTGTCTAGAAAGGTGTCTGGTACATCATAAATGTTCAGTATATAAACACCGATTAATTGTTACCCCAAATAATTGGATACTTTGGGCTCAATAATAGATGTTAACACAGCTGTGTTCATTGTGAGTACATTTTCAGTGTACATTAACGAAATGACGCAATTACTTTTTAAAATGTTAATTGAAAGTGTTGACAATTCAGATACTATTTTGTTTGTTGGTTTCTTTGTCTCTTCTCTTGCTCTCCTCTTTCTTTTCTTTCCTATAGATATTTTTAAATGTATTTTTATTGATTTCAGAAAGGAAGAGAGATAGAAACATCAATGATGAGAGAGAATTATTGATGGACTGCCTCCTACTGGGGGTTGAGCCCACAACCTGGGCTTGTGCTCTTGACCAGAATTGAACCCGGGACCCCTCAATCTGCAGGCTGACGCAATATCCCCTGAGCCAAGTTGGCTAGGGCCATATAGATATTTTTTAATGGGGTCAGAAATTACCTGAAATAGTGAGTGTAGTGCCTGAATTGTGTTTTTTATTCCTGAATTACAAAATATGTCATTGTAATTAGGCACATAAAGATTTATTGGTTAGTTTTAAGAAGGTATTTTGTTGTTTTTGCTTATAAAAACAGATATAGTTATTAAAGGAAACATAAAAAATAAAAGGCTATAACAAGTAATCCAAATTACTCCTTATCCCATAATCTTGCCTCTAGAGAAACACTGTGTAATAGATGTGCTTTGCTAATGAATAGTATTTTGTTTTATACTTTTTAATGATTTATATATTTTATATGTACATTTAAACGTAAATATAGTTGTGTATTTTTATTTAAAATTATTATAAAAAGTTTATCATTTCAATAAAATGAAGCAAAATCATTTTGAACTATATAATATCCCATCAATTGATGTGCTATGATTTACTTAACATTTTTTTTCTTAAACTTTAACATTTGGTTCCTGTTTAGATTCTCCACTTTATAAGCAGTAAGCAGTAAATACATTTACATCTGCTGGAACTTCTTTTTTCATTTCTTTTAACTTTCCTTTAGGCTAGTAGAATAGTAACTGGTTTAGAAGTCCATTGTTGTAATTTGAAGTGTAAATGCCTACCTACATTAACCTTTTTCCAAACAAAATTGTTTATTTAATATTCCTTTTGTTTTCTTTCCCATTGGACAACCACTTAACGTTCTTGTAAACCATTCTTTTCCAGGCATTGCAAAGCTGGAAGAAGGAGATGAACTTCTACTTGCAATACCACGTGGAGATGCTAAAATATCACAGGATGGAGATGGCACTTTTTTTGGTGCATTGAAACTTCTGTGACCTACTTATACCTTGTCTGTGGCTAATTTCCTCCTTCTCTATCTATCTCTAAGGAGAAAGCACTTAACTGGAAATACCAAAAGGGGAAAAAAACTGGTTACCATAGCCTTTTCTGTGAGCTATTTGTTTTGGTTTGCTGAAACTAGACAGGACAGGAAATTTAACAGACAACCACAGCCAAAGGGTGTCATGTGAATTACAAGAAGTGGAGCTCATTTAAGGAAAGATAGAATTAGAAAGACTTTTTTCACTATAAAGCCATGTCAACCAATTTAGGCACAGCCTTGTCTAAGAGGAAGCTCAGGGTTCGAAAGGGCCGTAAATGATTTGTTCAAAAATGGTATTCTGTTTTTTACTATGAAACAAGTGCCCATTTCCATAGGACAGTAAGACATTTGGGGGAAATCTCAGAATTCATCCTCTAATTTTATGTAAAATACACCCCTCTCCTTTTCAGTTAACCTTGGAGAAAGTAAAAAGAAAAAATATATAGAAATTTTGCATTCCTCTACATGTAAAAGTAATTAAAGCCTAAATTTAAACATCATATTAAATAAGTAAAGATATAGTACTCTTTAAGTCTTTTTTTGGTTTATTTCACGTTTGCAATTTTTCTCTCTGATATTATAAATTACCCAATGGAACACTCCCCAACAGCTTTTATAGAAGGGGAATAATTCTCTCATGTGCCAGCACTTATGTGTGTTGTTTGTAGCTAATATTCAGAAACTTAATGTAGGATAATTTTAATTCATGCATATAATCATTAATTGAAAACATAACTGTAATTGTTCTTATATAAAAACAAAATCTTCACTAGAAATTAATGAATACATTTGTAATAATGTAATATAAATTTCCTTTATTTCCTATTGTATTTTAAACCATTGCTATTGTTGTTCACATGTCCCAGCCTTTAAAAATAGTCATGTTAGCCAAAACCGGTTTGGCTCAGTGGATAGAGCCTCAGCCTGCATACTGGAAGGTCCAGGTTTGATTCTGGTCAAGGGCACAGGAGGCAGTTGATCGATGTTTCTAGTACTCTCTCTCTTCCTCTCTGTAAAAAATCAATAAAATATATTTAAAAACAAAACAAAAAACAGTCATATTATTAGCTTTACTGAAGGTGATGTTTAATTCAACTTCTTGGCATCCTGAAGTATGCTGTGTGCTATATGCTTTTTATAAAGTTGCCATATGCCAGAAGATATCACCTGATTTTCATTTTATAAAGAATCACATCTGAGAATGCTATAATACTTACATTTATTACATCTTACTAGTATTTCCCCTTTGTTTTGCTTGTTGTTTTTTAAATGTCATCAGTTTAAAGGGCTTTCACTTCATTAAACAGTTTCTTTCATAAGTTTAATCAGTAGGTGGAAGAATAGACCCTGGTCAGCACTAAATTTTCCCATCTGTATAAAGACAATTTTAAAGGTATAATTTTCAAAACAAAAGGAATGATTTGTATTTTTGTATATAAACTTAAACTTTGTTTAAATATAATTTTGACTTTTTTGGTTAAAACAAAATCTATTGTGCAATTATTTTGTTTTACAATATAATAATTGAAAGGAAGGGATAGGTAGGGTAGGAGTTTTGATACCCAGAGGAGGTTAGGAATTTTCTTAGTGTTGCTGCTACCTTGGATTGCCAAATAAAAACATCTGAGTCTTTTGCCTCATTTTTTATTGACTTTGTCTAACACCACTCCTCTTTTAGTTTCTTTCTATATAACTATCAAATGCCATTTGTAAAATTAGGTACATACTTGTAAAGTATTATAAAGTAACATGTTAGGGCATGACAATAAAATATTTGAAATCATGAATATTTTACATATTTCCAAAAGGGTTTGTAGCCTTAGCCAGTTTGGCTCAGTGGATAAAGCATTGGCCTGCAGACTGAAGGGTCCCAGGTTCAATTTCAGTCAAGGGCATGTACCTTGGTTGGGGGCACATCTCCAGTAGGAGGTGTGCAGGAGGCAGCTGATCGATGTTTCTCTCTCTACCCCTCTCCCTTCCTGTCTGTAAAAAATCAATAAAATACATTTAAATTAAAAAAATGATTTGTACACATTAGTATTATATAAAGAAAGGAAATAAATTACATATTTCTTCAAGAATAAGCTTGAAAAGATAATCCTGCAATTTAACAAGCTTTCACACTAAGCTATTAAAATCTGCAGCTTAAACCATTATTCTTTATAAATGACCTAGCACCGTGGTCAGCAAACTGCAGCTCGAGCCACATGCGGCTCTTTGGCCCCTTGAGTGTGGCTCTTCCACAAAATACCACAGCCTGGGTGAGTCTATTTTGAAGAAGTGGCATTAGAAGAAGTTTTAAAAATTTGGCTCTCAAAACAAATTTCAATCGTTGTACTTACTGTTGACATTTGGCTCTGTTGACTAATGAGTTTGCCCACCACTGACCTAGTATATTTTGTCCGCAGGTGTAGAATTCAGCCACATAAAATATTCTTAAATCTTATTTTACGTTAGGTTTAAACCATTGTTAAGATGTGAACCCTATCTTCCTCATATGTGAAATGTGAGGGATATTAGACTTAGGTTGAGTGAAAGTTCATTTAGATGTCAGGAAAGAGAAGATCAGGTGTGTTTGGGGCTTCCACCACAGCAGCAGCTGCTGGAATTCCCACTGCTCTACCCTTCCCCCAACCTAATTTACGGGGGGGGGGGGGGGGGGGGCTTGGAAATGATACTAGGATTACCTACAACAGAACATTTCTAAGGTGTAAGTGTATGGGTCCAGTCCAGACACTCATGTCTAAAATCTGAAATCAGGAGTTGTGATGATGAATAGCTAACTGAGGGTATTAAATTGTTCCCTTGTGTGGGAACTAAGCTGGTTAGCACAGCACCCAGAGGGAAATAATGTGCAGCCCTCAGTGGCCTCTGGAGAAATCAGCTCCACCCTCAGTCATTGTGTAAGAGGAGGTCCTCCCTCCCAGTGTGGTGTGTTATGGATGCAGCAAGTTATTGATACAATTTCATAAATTCCTTTGTCATTTGAATTGTGAATTATAAAATAGTGCCTGTTATCTGGCTGGCCCTATGCTAAGAACCTGGGAGTTATAAAAGATTGCTTACTCCGGATCAACTGCATGCACATTCACATTGTAAAATTAATCTTGTAAATTTGTATAAATTTGATTTACTTTTTTTTCCCCTCTTTGAGGACATTTGTCACACTATGATTTTATGAGTAGTCCCTCACAACCTAACAAAAAAGAGAAACAACTTCAGTGTCTGGCTGTGTAGATAAAGGTATGCCTACATAATGGAACGCTGTGCAGCCATTAGAATTATATCCTAGAACTCGATTCCAAGTCCTGGGAGATGATCAAGAGAGTCAAGTGGAAAAAATAGTTATAACAGCATGTAGAGAATGATCCCATTTTTGGTAAATAAAAATATATCAGCATGAAAATAAAGGACTAAAGAAAAGCAAACAGGAAAGCAATGGTGATTATCTTTGAGTGCAGGGGTTATCAGATGGAACAGTTTTAATTTCCTTTCCCTGCCTTCTTTAAATGTTCTACAATAAGCATGCACTGTTTTAATGATGGGATACTTCTCACTTCCTGAACTGTTACTAGAAGGAGAGTTTCACCACAGGATCTATCTTTATTAACAGACTCTTATTAATTGGCCAGGTGGCCTCTCTCTCCCTCTTATTCGTTTATTTATTTATTTTTTTACAATAACTAAAATTTGGAAACAGCCCAAGTGCTTATCATTAGATGAATGGATAAAAAAAGCTCTGGTACATTTACACAATGGAATACCATGCACCTGTGGAAAAGAAGCATCTCTTACTCTTCGGGACATCGTGGATGGATCTGAAGACTATTATGCTAAGAGAAATAAGCCAATCAGAGAAAGACAAACATCACATGATCTCACTTCTTTATGGAATCTAATGAACAAAACGAATTGACCAACAAGATAAAACCTGAAGCACGGAGACATGGAACAGATTGACATACCTCAATGTGGGGGTAGGGAGTGAGAAGACATAAACCAGAGAAGTTATGTACCCATATGCACAGTCCATGGACATGGGAAAAAGAGTGGTGAAGGCCTGGGGAAGGGGGATAGGGGCTGGGCAGAGGGGGCTAACGCAGGGGAAAATGAGGGGCATTTGTAATCAACAATAAAAATATATAAAATAAATTTGATTAGCTTTTACAAATTAATTATGATTAGAAAGGAAATCTAAGATCTCTGGCCTTGCTCACGTCAGAGCAGCTCCTCCGGGTTCGTCGTCTTTGGGCCAGACACAGGAGTGAAGGGCTGGCATGGGGCCGGCAGCATCTCCAAACATGGGCTGTCCCTGCGAAGCCATGTCCAGACCGTCAGAAGGGAGTGCAATTTTCTTTTAAGCTTTGTTTGAGGTTGTCTTTGATCTTCACATTGGCATTATCCAAGTAGACTAAGCCCTTTTTTTTTAAAAATATATTTTATTGATTTTTTACAGAGAGGAAGGGAGAGAGATAGAGAGCTAGAAACATTGATGAGAGAGAAAAACATCGACCAGTTGCCTCTTGCACACCCCCTACCGGGGATGTGCCCGCAACCAATGTACATGCCCTTGACTGGAATCGAACCTGAGACCTTTCAGTCCTCAGACTGACACTCTACCACTGAGCCAAATCAGTTTCGGCAGACTAAGCCTTTTGTTATGTAAAAAAAATAATTAAATGACATTGTGTTTAAGATCACTTTAAAAATAAAGATAATAAAATTATAGAAATATATTAGCAATACAGTATGAGGGAAAAATTGTTGATTATTTAGATTTATTTTACAACTAGAGGCCTGGTACACAAAATTCATGCACTGGGGTGGGGGTGGGGTGCGGGTGTTCCCTAAGCCCGGCCTGCACCTCTCACAGTCTAGGAGCCCTTGGGGGATGTCTGACTGCCGGCATAGGCCTGCTCCCCTGGTGCTCACCAGCTGTGAGGCTGGCTTCTGGCTAAGCAGGACTCCCCCTGTGGGAGCACACTGACCACCACGGGCAGCTCCTGCATTGAGCTTCTGCCCTCTGGTGGTCAGT